ATATTGAATGCGAGGAACTGCTGTAAGAGTGGTATTCCTCCGCATTTCTCGGTAGGTGCAGAGACTCGGTAGGTGCCGAGAATAGCATCAAACAGCTATGTGTGTATAGACTATCATGTCACAAAATGTGTCAAATCCTACATGACTGTACTAGTTTGATCGTGTCATGCTAAGTTTTTTTTATATATATTCGACGTGCAGTATCAAATTCCATGAAAAACAACACTCTTCCACCAGTCCTTACTTCATATTCTCATATAGTACCTCAGTTTGTCACGGCGAATGAACAATTTGTTGACACATGAAGATGAAACTGCTGAACTGCAGTTAAAGTCGAAAAATTTAAAATGAAACACCCAAAATTACATGAAACTCTGGAGGAAACGTGGATAGACACAGTCTGCAAACGTTTGGTGGAATGATGCATTTGGGAAACGTAAAATCAATAAATGGCTAAAGATTGTTTTTGGAAACATACCCAGGGTGGTTGCTAGAGTTTGGTTTTACAGTTGCAAGGGTATTATGAGAAGTTGAAGGGATATTCTGGGTTGCTGTTGTTGCTAAAGGTTGCTAGGTGTGTTTGCAAGGAGGTTTGTAGGCCATTGACAGGCATGTGCACACATAGGGCTCAACCTGTGCAGTGCACATGCCCTTTTTAGTCTTGGATAGATAGTGCCCTTCCAGATCTGAAGTGCCCCCGCGACACCCCCCCCCCCCCCCCCTACATGCCTATGTCACTACATTATCCTGTACATGCCCCTTGGATAGTCTCTGCACAGGGCTAGCCTTTGCTATATGGTTACTAGGCTATTTTGTGTTGTTTAAATATGCGGTTGCTAGGGATGAAGTGTGGTTGCTTTTCTGTCATTGCTTTTTCATTTTAGATTTTTGGTCAAAATTTGTGTTGTTGAATTTCTTGTGAGTTTAGCTGTTAAAATCTTAAAAGGTCTAGGAGTAAATCGCCCACTGAAGCTAAGCTAGTTGTCACCTGGTCAGTACCTGGATGGGAAACCACATGGGAAAGCTCGGTTGCTGCCGGAAGTGGTGTTAGTGAGAACAGCAGGCGGTGCTCAACCTGTGATCTGTGTGGGTTTTAACGCCCCAGTATATTGACGGGGATGTTAAACCGAGGTCCTGAATCTCTGTGGTCATAAAAATCCCAGGATATCTGTTAGTAAAAAAGTAGGGGTTTAACTCCGGCATCCTGGCCAAATTTGCCCATTGGCCTCCGTCAATCATGACCTCTTAACCATCCCCATATAGTAATTGGCTTCATCACTCTATATAAATGCTATATAAATGTAATGAATTATTATTATTAAATAAATCAAAAATGTATAATAATATGCATTCATCAAGTCAGCACAATATATTAATATATATTAAAAATCTTATATCTTAAAATATATATCAATAAAGAAAATGTCTCAGGTAATTTGCAAGACGATAGTAGAGACATGTTTGAGCTGGTATTATACTCTTTGACTGGTGAGCACAGGTTATATAACTGTAATCACAGAGTGAATACATAACCCGACTCCCACGGGGCTAGAAACATCGGTGCAGTCGATTTAAACTCTGAAGAAAGACACATTAAGGGCATCCTGTGGTGACCAACAGTAAAAACTCAGTTCTATTAAAGCTTTCTGTTTAATTTAGCTATTTAGGGCTTTAATTCACATCACCGTTCATCATTCCTTCACAAATGTGTGTGGCCTTGATTTTCAGATACCATACTCACTGCTACGAAGGCTTCAAATGCTTTTTTTTTGACTTACTAGTTCATTTGGTACATTTGGAATGATGCTTATAATCAGCATATTTTGAAATTTTAGAGAGAAAAAAAACCTTGACGTACATTTAAGTGTGTTTATTCCACCTATGAAACATCAATGCACTGTACATTTAAATCAATTTAAGAAAAACATTTACTGACAAAATCAACTTTAAAAAAAAAGCTCGATGTAAAAACTGGACATTCATGCTAAGCAACATTCAATTTATTTTTTTTAGCACAATCAAATACTTAAATCGCAAACATTAAATACGTTTATAGTGCCTTGTTTTCATGGCACAATACAGTACAGTAGCTACAGTATGACTCGGTTCGGGTCACCCTGACCAGCTTAGTGTTTCTATTGACAACAGTACCCTTAGGCCAGTGGTGTCCAAACTCAGTCCTGGTGGGCCGCTGTCCTGCACAGTTTAGCTCCAACTTCCTTCAACACACCTGCCTGAAAGTTTCTAGTACACCTAGTGAGAGCTTGATTAGCTGATTCACGTGTGTTTAATTTGGGTTGAAACCAAAATATGCAGGACACCGGCCCTCCAGGACCGAGTTTGGACACTCCTGCTTACGCCATCATCACATCAAACACATTTTTCTTTGTGTTGATTAATTTTTGGCAGTAATCTTTTTGCATGCTTTTTTTGCACACACCGCCTCCTGTTAGAACCATTTTTTTTGACAGAGTGCACTGTGTGCCTGCAGTTAAAAAATACTCCTGAAAAACCACCGGACATCATGTTCTCCAACACTCCCTAAAGCTAATTTATACATCTGTCCCGAGTGTGTTTGGTAAATCTGGAGTTGTTTTTGCACATTCACATACGACAATACCATGATGTGCACCTTTAAAAATTTAACTACACATTGCAATGCCATATAGTGCAAGAGCTGTGATTGGTTGGCTTGGTAGTGGTGGCGAGGCCTAGAGCAATGGAAGAGGAGCTAGGCTGGGTGTGTTTAATAAGTGTTGAGTCTCCTGGAAGAGCTCTAGATTAATAATATTGTTTTGTAAATAAAACCTTGAATGAGTGAGTTTGAGCTATTTGTCAGTTAGTTAGGATTGCACACATTTCTGGAGTAAACTTTAAACACCCGTGTAGAAACTTGACACAGTATATGTAAATCCTAGCATTTGGGAAGTGTTATTGTAAGAGCAACACAAGTACTAGGCCACCACTATTTCAATGGCCTTAGTGCTGGAGCGCATGACATCAGGTGCTTTTTCTGCTCAGTGTTGACTTTTTCCAACTGCAGGCGCTCCAAGAGCTACGTTAGGTGCAGCAGGCAGTTACAATGCAAAGCACCCAGTGTGCATAAACAGAGTGCAAAATGCTCACTGCCAATTGTAAACAAATCACTGTTCAGAAGATAATTTAGCTCTACCCTTTAGTAGCAAACTGTGGCACTAGGCACCCTTATGAAAGGGTCCCAAAAAGTGGAACAGTACGATTCACTGTTTTGGTACTTCTGACAGTGGAAATGGAAATAAATGCATACCATACTGTACTGAATCATAGCACTCAGTGGTAGTGAATGTGAATGATTTGCAAAAAACATTCTTGCCTGATTAGAGATTATAGATAATGGTTTTACAAACTTTTTTCATTCTGCTTGTTTCATGAATTCCCTTTGTTTGATTTCATCATTTGATCATATAAAACCCACAGTGTGTGACACTTGAAGGAACTATTTACACAAACTTGAAACATACTTAATAATACCAAACTTTTACATAAACCAATAACGACAGTGCGATGGTGCTAAGTTCAAGAGGAAATAGAGCAAATGCAAATATAAATCTTTGTTTTTGCAAACTTGGCTTTGAACTGAAGGCCTAAAAATGAGTAAAACCAGTTGATCCTATTAATGCAGTAGATTATCGTGCATTAAAAAACACATGTGGTCTCTTTTTTGTTTAGCTTGAGATTTATATATATATATATATATTTAAGTTAAAAGTGCATGTAATAAAAACGGATGTTTTTGTGGCTCTTCTTCTTAGGCAACTTTCCTTTTACATCTGACCTCTGTCGGGCCGCGCTGACTATTGGTTAATAGTCGTTTAATTGGTTAATTTGAACAAATAGCTACTTAGGCACTGTTTAGCAATCGCACATTCACCCTATACAATTATGAATCCCATTTTTTTTTTTTTTACAATCCAATCAACTCTTGTAAATATGTTACATTTTGGATGCAAAAGAGTTCTAGTGCCCAATTGTTACAATCCAATAAATTCCCAAAGTTTTTTGGTAGAGTATTCAAAAAAAGGCTAATTCTGAAAACGTAGTCCCGCTAACATTTCTGGAGACCCTTAATTATGTACTCATGCATTTGATTTTTTTTAAGCGAAAGCTACTGGGCGATATGACGCCGTTCCTCTTGGCGCTTACCGGCTGACCGCTTACCTCTGTGTAGAGGGCTTTCCTGCTGTTAGTTAGCTCGTCGTGTACGTCGGCGGACTTGAGATTCAGAGAGGAGTTGACCATGACGACCACGACGACGACCGGATTCGAGTGCGGGGAAGATCGGTTCCAGGGATCTTTTCTTCGTAGCTCGCTTAAATAATCTAAAATGATTTGGCAGATCCTGGATCTTTTAATCTTGATAATTGATCTCTGGCTAATTTGGTTCTTCAAACAAGTTTGTGAATTGGATTAAAATGACTGGATGAACTGTTCTGAGATTGCTGCATGTGTTGTGAAGTGATTAGCAATGCAACGATTGGCTGACCAGGTTTGAGCTAGCAGAACTGTTGCTATGACAACAACTCTCAGATCAGTTTTGAAGAACGAAACGATCCTGGATCATGTCAAATCGTCAATAACCAAATCCAGCTAACTGAGTAATCCACGTACGAAGAACGTACCCCAGAAATCAGGTAAGACAAAAACAAAATCTAAAAAGTAAAATGAACGAGTGAACAACAGGGTGAGAATGTGGCAAAATCCTAAAACGTGGTAAAAATCAGACAAGGGCTTTTCTTTTTCTGGACTGCTTTTGTAAACCGTCGGTTGGGTTTAAGGAAGTAAGCGGGCAGCCAGGTCAATCAGTAGAATTTGTTGGGTTTAGGAAAGGAGGAGGGTGGGTCAGTCGATTGGTCAGTCTCCCAGTCAATCATTCAGTCAGTCGACAGCGGCCTCTGGTGGGTTTACATGAGAACAGCGCAGCCGTGAACAGCACTCGCGAGAGACATTTAAGATGCAAAAAAGCGCACACAGCAGCCGGATTTGCGAAATCAAAAACTGGAAAAAAACCTACCTCCTCGGACGTATTTCGCGGAACTACGTTTTCAGAATTAACCTAAATTGACTGTATCCGTTTTCAATTGTAAATACAATGTTTTCGCTCCAAATATCCAGTTTCAATCATGAACGTATCCAATTAATTTTGGTTTGACAGTGTTAGTTTGCATTAAAATGGTCAGGTTTTTTTAAAGTACTTCCTCGTTCTCCCGATCCAAATTGTTGTACCTCACCGATAAAGAATCCTTCAGCATGATGTCATCAGCAAATTTGGCGATTTCCACAGGGGTGACATCATCATGCCTCTTTGAGACATCATCGGAATCCATGCATGTCGAGTTTTGCGTACTCTCCTCAAAACAGATGCCAAGAGCTTCCTGTCGCACAGTGACGGCGCTAGCAATTTTCGCATTTTCTTTCAGCGTGATGTCATCAATATGCTTGGCCTCCTCTTCTAATTCCTCCGGAATTGAAGGCGGGAGGCTTTCAATGTCTGAGTTGCTGAAAACGTACCCTGGTAGCGACGTGTGTATGTGTGAGGTGTGTGTTAGCGATCCAACACTAGGTCGACTAGTGCAACGGTATATCCTGCTGGTGAGGAGGGCAGAGCTTCGGGTCACAGACGTGAGCTGGGATTGATTGCTAGCGCCACTGTTGTTTAGTACTGACCCGTAGCGGTAGTTAGCCAAAACCACTGGGCCTTTCCAGTCAAACGCTAGCGTCCAGCGGAGCCAGGTCTTGCGGATTTCAGCCTGGACCTGGGATAATGACAACATTAAAACTGTGAACTTTGTGAAAGAGTATGAATATGAATTCTATTTCAGCTTGACGTACCTCTCCGTTGCAGAAGCAGTAGATAATAGACACAAAAAATCCCTGAAAGAGAGCAAAAATGTGGTTGTAAATGACAAGTAGAAATGAGACCACAGTACAAATGGAAGAGGGTTTCTTGCCAAACATGCTACTTGTTTTGGACTCTCTATTTAATTTAATTTATTTGAGGTTTTATTGCACAAGAAACAGTGCATGATGCATATAATAGCTACAACTGTGCTATTGCTACTCCCAGTGGATAAAAAACTTTAAAAAAATTTTTTATTTAATATCTTGTTTTAAGGGTGTCACGATTCTCCAAATACTCGATTCGATTGCATTTTCGATTCTAAAGGCACGATTCAATTCGATTATGAATAATTTATTAATTAATGACCAATTAATTTTTTGTAGCCTACAGTTTAAACTACCTGACCTGCATGGTCTTTGTTTTACCCATAAACAAATCATACAGTAAATGAATAAAGGCAAGATACACACATAATTACCACCTGTCAATCACTTTTTTCTGCGGGACTCGTGAATAGGCAGTGATCTGTGTCGTTATAATGGCGTCGGTAAAAAAAGACGCACAACCAACAGGAACCAGCCAACAGTATCTGAGGTGTGCGCTAAAATGACTAAGTACAAGTGAGTAAAAGATTGAAGCAGTCCTCTGACTGCCTGGACCCGCTGTGTGTGTGTCTGTGTCTGTGTGGTCACGTGATGTGCATTTTCAGAGGTAGAGAGGAAGGAAGGCTGCTCAGAAATGCTACACGCCACTGTGGATGTCAAATCGTTGTCGTTCTAAAATACCATTTAAAAACAAAGACAGTGTAAACAGGGCCTGAGTGTGTACTTTTCGCGAGCGGATGTGCAACGGGGGCGGGTGGAGGATCGCAATGGCGGTGTTGTCTATCGGACGAACCGTACGTAATACGTACATAGCAGAGCTTGCAAAACTGTTTTTTTTTGTCGACAACGCGAACGTTGTCAACATAACTCACTGGAAATCCAAAATGCTTACACAACGGCGACTTCATTGAAAGAGGAGAGGGTTTAAGTTCTGTCGACGGGTCTCCTGCTTCTGCAGTTTAACAAGCACTTCAACAAGCTTGTTTTTCTCCGCTTGGCAAGCCAAGCTGACGTGACATGGGGGCGTGGCAGCATCGACGATTCTATTTTTTGATTCGATAAACGAAATTGAGCATAAATTTCGATCGATTTCGATTAAAAATCGAAATCGTGACACCCCTATCTTGTTTACATAGAAATATGCCACACAGCGGACATAAAATAAATTGTAATGCTTATTTTCTTTTACAATCAAATCATTTCCTAACAGATACATTAAGATTTAATTGTAAATATGCAAAAACACAGAAGAAAAGCTTCTTAGGATGGCCAGTTTTTACAAAAAGATTTGAACTAGTTTAAAAAAAGCTTCTGATGCATAATATCAACAACTATTAAGTTATTGTAACTTAAATTTCATTATAAACAGCTAAACACAAACAAACACTTATTATCCACCTCTGCACCGACTAACAAAATACACCACCTGACAAAAGCCTTGTGGTCAGTTCCAGTTGTAAGAGCAACAAATAATAGCTTGACTTCAAGTTGATCATATGGAAATCGTGGCAGAAGGTAGATTTTTACAATCAATTATCTGTTGAACTGCATCCCAATCATCACAATTACTACAGAAGACCAGCATGGACCCAAAATTTAAAGTTTGGTAAAGGAAAATCAGCGTTTGGGGTTACATTCAGTGTGGGGGTGTGCGAGAGATCTGCTGAGTGGATGGGAGCATCAACTGCCTGAGGTATCAAGACACTTGTGCTGCCCTTTACATTACATCAGGATAGCGCTCCTTCTCATACTTCAGCCTCCACATCAAAGGTGCTCCAGGATTGGCCAGCCCAGTCGCCAGAAATTAACACTATTGAGCATGTCTGGGGTAAGATGGAGGAGGCATTGAAAATGAATCCAAAGAATCTTGATGATCTCCGGGAGTCCTGCAAGAATGATTTCTTTGCCATTCTAGATAATTATTAATAAATTATTTGAGTCAATGCAGAGATGTATGGATGCAGTCCTCCAAGCTCATTGTTTCTGTTAAGTGACAAGTCTTTTGTCTAAGTGAAGTCAGACCTTACTGTCCTAATTAAATATTTAAAAACCAAGGCATGATCATATTTTATTTTGGTAAAATGAGTAATGTAGAGGCCTTCTGACTAGAAGACAAGTTATTATTCCTAAAACTTGGATAGGCGACAAGACTTTTGTCAGGTAGAGTATAAACACTTTGTTTATTATTTCAACCCCACAAAACAATATAACTATTTAACAGTAAACAAACTCATCAAAAGCGCATCAACAATTATCATTTAAAATGACCAAGTAAGAAAATATGTGGATGTACCTCAGCACCTTTAATTACATTCATTTAAAATAACTTCAACTTTTATTTCACAGAACAGACAGCAAACCAAAGACAAAAAGTATATATATATTTATTATTAATCTTCTGATGGATCTCAGCATCAACTAATTTCACTTACTTCACACACCAACGAGTATATAAAAAGGTCTTATGATGTACCCTGGCACCAACATTTAATTTCATTTGTCTACATCTTATCTATTCAATTATTTCATAAAGTGTTTTTGTATTCGCTTCACCATTTCCGCTTCTAAAGATAAGCTACAAAACACTTTGGGAATATGAAAGCGCTGTTATTTATCACGTCGACTGAACAAATTAAACTAAAATGGGAACAGACACTTCATTATACATAATGTTCTCACACATGAGTGTTTACAGAGAGAAGAAACAAAGTGTAAGTGGGGAAACTCACCTGGAACGAGTTGAAGAAAAGTTCACAGTACATGCGCAGCTCCCAGCCGAGACCTGTGAACGTGTGCGGCATTCCTACAAACACAATGTAGTGGACGCCGAAAACAAGAACCAGAACCAAGGTGGACTTCGCCAGCTTCCTGTGAACAGACAGATACATAGTGAGATTTTGGGGATTTTGAAACATGTCTTGCAGTTTGTAATGTAGCGGTTCTTGATCAATGATTGGTTGAAGGCTACATTATTAGCTCTCTTGTGAAATTTTTTTCTCTTTTTAAAAATATTTTCACAAGCGAAGAAATTACACAGTATTTCCCAGGCCCGGATTGGCCAATCGGGAGGACCGGGAGAGTTCCCAGTGGGCCGGTCCGTTTTTTGGCCGCTAGGGCAGGTGTTTCTAGCTGCTTGCACTCTCAGGAGTCGCACTTTTTTTCCATTTGTTTATTTATTTGACCATAGCCTCACTCTTTTTATTCATTATTTTGCCGCAGCTCCGCTCTTCTTATTTATTGTCTCGTTGCGCACGGACGTCGCCGATCCGTGTTCGATCCTCACCTGAGTAATTCTTCTTCTTTTTTTTTTTCTTTTTTATTGTTAAGACACAAAACTGTAAGGTTGTTGAACATTTGAAGTTCTAAAGTAGCTGTTTTCTTGAAAAAGAAGTGATAGTGTAATTAGAAACTGAATTGGAAATGACCTTATTTTAATATAGTGAGTCGGGAACTGAGGTGGGCTGGTCTAATGCTTGAAACTCCAGGGCTGAAAAGGAGTCCCATTCAGGCCCTGGTATTTCCTATAATGTTTTTTATTCTGGATAAAGTCTTTGGCTGGAATAAAAATATAACAAATGTCCAACTGAAGGTAAGTGCGGTGTTAATGAAGTGATCCAAAAACTAGGGACATCTGATGTGAAACAGATATTTGACTGTGGTTGCATTCCAGTCCAATTTTTTATGCCCTTCACTCGCTCATTTATCTTTATTGTCCACTATACTGGCAGAGCATGTGAATGGGTTTAAATGAAATGCTCTAAACCACAGGTGTCAAACTCAGTTCCAAAAGGGCCGCAGCTCTGCACAGTTTAGTTCCAACCCTAATTAAACACACCTGATCAAACTAATTGAGTCCTTCAGGCTTGTTTGAAACCTACAGGTAAGTGTGTTAGAGCAGTGTTGGAACTAAACTGTGCAGGGCTTCGGCCCTCCAGGAATTGAGTTTGAAACCCCTGCTCTAAACCCTTGAGCACTTGGGAACTACTATTTTGCATCATCACAATTGCATTGTATTCTGGGATATATCAGTTCTAGAGTGAACATAGGAAACAGACTCGCTCCCTCTGTCAAAATCTAGGGATCGAAGGTATATCGATGTTAACATCCCTCGTTCACTTGATGAAGTGGAACACACTTTAAAATGGTGGCAGGGATTCCCCCGAGGGAACAAGTGAAGGGAAGTTTGTACGTGAGTGTCTAGATCATTTCGAGTGTCTAGATCAACAGCATTTCGATTCTCGTGACTAAAGTGATTCAAATAATCAAGGTATTTCACAAGTGTTTCAAGATGTGATATACCGAGAGAATCTGTGTTTGATTGATAGGGTCGAAATTCAATCGTACATAGCCTAGCACTAGATTACAGTGCACATGTGGAAATGGTGACCAGAGTTCGAGTCCAGGCTTTTACAGAAAGGCAGAAATTTAATTAGAAATTTGTCTTTAATTACTGTGCATTTGCATGACCAAAATAACACATTTATTCACAAAGACTGTTAAAGCACAAAAACAGAGCAATAAAAAAAAGTATATTTAAAAATCACTACAGTTACTTCACGGTAGATTTGAACTCATTTTGTTTGCATGCCAGCCAGGAACATTAACCACTTCCCTAAATCACCTGATGAATCGATGTGCCTTGTAATTTGTCAATTTGCTTAACTGTTGCTAAAGCGGTTCTAGAGAAATACCTGAAAATGACCAGGTTTCACCTTAGAGAAGAGTTTCGAAATGTTTCCAATCCTTGACACATTTGCTTCGGCTGTTTCAGGGTTTTGCCCACCAATATTGCCACAGAAACAGGAACCATCAAAAACACTCTAGCAATCAGTATTAACAACACCATAGCAACCACTCGCAACACCATAATAACCACTCAGAACTCCTAGCAACCCCTCAGAAAACCATAACAACCAAATACAGAAGCCAGAAAAACCAAGCAATCGCCTTTATTGCAATAGCAACTACACAGGACACTCTAGCATACAGAAAGAACATGCCACCAAACATCCTAGCATACACCTAAATCACCCTTGCAGCCAAAAACAACATGTCAGCAAACAACCAGAACAGGATCTGGCCCAAAATACTTGAGCAAAAGTGAAAAGGTACTCCTTTTAAATAAGTATTAAAAAATAACATAAAAATCCTAGAACACCATCTACAGTACAGCAGGGGTATCCATACTCGGTCCTGGAGGACCAGTGTTCTGCATATTTTCAGCTCCATCTTGCCTCAACACACCTGCAAGGATGTTTCTAGAAAGCCTAGCTAGAGCTTGATTTGCTAGCCCAGGTGTGCCTGGATTGGGGTTAAAATTAAACTTTGCAAGACACCGAACCTCCAGGACCAAATCTGGACACCCCTGATCCCTGTATCTACATTGCAAACCACGCTAGCAACTGCCAAGAACACCCTAGTGACCACCTGCATTATATACAACCCAGGACAAAGTACCAATCACTTGGAACACCCTAGTAACCATCTTCAGTAGCTACCACAAACAACCTAGCAATCACCTAAAGAAAACAAAAAAACAAAAAAACTCAAGCACCCTAACAGCTTACAACAACATAGCTACTAACAACACCATAACAATCAACCAGAACACATAAAAACCACTCAAGACACCCTAACATCAACGCACAGCACCACAGGAACCATCAAAAACACCCTAATAACCACAATTATTATCTACAACACAAAAACAATCAGAATACCCCAACACCCAAAAATAACACTAGTTATCACACAGAAAAACAATGCAATCACACAGAACACCCTAGCAACTGACCAGAAAACACTTGATATCAAACACCCAAGGATACACCCAAAATACTCTAGCAACCATACAGAACATGTCAGAAAACATCCACAACAGTATCTGGCCCCAAATTCTTGAACAAAAGTGAGAAGTTCCACATTTTGGTTAGGTTTTTATAAAAGTTATATAGAAAGTAGAGAAATGTTTCATCATACTGAATCATCTTCTAGTTCACGATGGGATAATTTGCACAAACTATTTGTCAGAAAGACATGCAAAGTCTTGTTTAAAGCGGGGAAATGACCAACAGCAAAGGTCAAAAACATTTATCAAGTGCTTTCAAAAAAATTCCAATACAGCACAGGGAGACAAAAATACAGCCCTCTCCATCCTTTACACACTCCTACTGTATAAATGCATCTCTTTTTTTGTAAAGCTTGCATCATGCGAACTAAAATCTTTGAATTTTCATTTTTTTGGGGTGGAGAACACTTTCAAAGAGCAATACGTGATGCAGAGATCCGTAAAAACATCCCCGACAGAAAACAAGAATGTGTGTTGAATTAATAACGACTAGCGACAGAGTTTTGTATCATTTTCAAGCACAGCTCATGTTGTCTAATCATCAGCTAATTTCATTGATTTACATGGGCCATTTTTTAAAGCAAATATTGATAAGATATGATTGTGATTAATTAAATGAGACACATGTTGACTCCTATAATGTTTACTTGATACATTTTTACAATACCACGTATCCACTATTGGTAAAACAATCACTGAACATGATTTACAATTGATCTAATATACAGTGTTCACTTTTTTGGAGATCAGTCAAATAAACAAATCAGATGAACAAAACGCTCATATTTTACTATTTTCCACCAAACTCTGAACTGTGAATGTTGTCCTGGGAGCTAACGACTAGTTAGAACACCATATAAAACTGTTATCTTCAACCTAGAACACCGTACAATCCCACTCACAGCACCCTAGAATCCAGCAATCTTCCACTCTAAGCACCCTAAATATTCTACTATCTTCTACCCAGAGCATCCTAAATATCCAACTATCTTTTACCCAGAGCACCCTAAATATCCAGCTATCTTTTACCCAGAACACCCTAAAATTCCAGCACCCTAAATGTCCAGCTATTTTCTACCCAAGACACCCTAAAATCCACCAAGACGCCCCTAAATATCAATGTTTCAACCAGAACACTTTAAAAAAAACGTAATCTTCTACCCAAAGCACCCTAAATTCCAGTAATCTTCCACCCAGAGCAACCTAAAGTTCAGTAATCTTCCACCACCCTAAAAACACAGCTTTTTTTCAACCAGACTACTCAGAACACCCTAAAAATCTAGCCATCATTTAACCGAAGCCTAATTACTGCCAGAGCACCCTAGAAACTACTCAGAACACCCTAAAACCAGTGATTCTCTACCTAGTGCACCCTAAAAGCTCAGTGATTTTTCTACCAAGAGCACCCTAAAATCATTAAACCAGAGCCTAATTTCTGCCAGCACCCTAGAAACTACTCAGAACACCCTTTAAATCTAGGAAGCTTCCACCAAAAGCACCTTAAAAATCTAGCTAGCTTTAACCCAGAGCCTAATTCCCACCAGGGCACCCTAGGAACTACTCAGAAAACCCTAAAAACTAGTGATCTTCTACCTAGAGCACCCTAAAATCCAGTAATCGTCCATCCTGAACACCCTAAAAAAATCTATAGTTCAACCAGAGCCCAGTTCCTACTTAAGCACCCTAGAAACTACTCGGAACACCCTAAAAATCCATGCATCTTTAACCCAGAGCCTTATCCTTATCTTTCCCTCCAGAAAACCCTAGAAATTAGTCAGAGCACCCTAAAATCCAGTAATCTTCTAGAGCACCCTAAAAATCCAAAACCCAGAGAACCATAGAAACTACCAGCAATCTTCCACCCAGAGCATTCTAAAAAAATCCAGCTATATTTAACCTAGAGCTCAGTTTCTACCAGAGCACACTAGAAACTAGTCAAAACCAACTAAAACTAGTGATCTTCTATCCAGGGCACCCTAAAAATCCAGCAATTTATCACCCAGAGCCCCCTAAAAATCCA